CCCGATGCAATCTGGAATACTCCCATTCAATTGATTGTATGAGAGATTTATCCTTTTTAACTTGGAAAATTTCCTTATGCTGTCTGGAATACTCCCATTGAATTGATTGTTAGAGAGATCTATGCTTTCTAACTTAAAAAGTTGTCCAATACTATCTGAAATACTCCCACTCAATTGATTGCTAGAAAGGTAAAGACCTCTCAAGGAAGTCATGTTTTGGAGAAATACAGGTATTGGACCTTGGAAAAAGTTACTTGAAAGATCTAAGTGTTGAATATTACCAAGCAATGTGAAATTAAAGAGGTGGTTGTGAGATGGAAGATAAGAATTTTTTATACTACAATATGACATATTCAACCATGATAATGAAGAAAGCATGCCAAGTACCTGGAACAAGTTTGATGAGGCATGGCTTAGATGTACTCCACTCATATCAAGTCGTTGCAAAGAGCAGAGATGAGAAATCCACTGAATGTCATCATCAACCTTCAATCCCCCATGATAATTCTGCGAAAGATCAAGGACATGAAGCCTTGTAAGATTTCCAAGTTCCCCAGGAATTTTTCCTCTAAATTGCGCATAAGAGAGATTTAGGTACATCAGCTGCTTCATCAAGCCGAAGGAGGGTGGAATAAGATTACCACTAAAATTATTGTTGCTCAAGTCCAGGTGTTCCAAGTATCTCAACTTGAGCAAACTTGAACCAACCTCCTCTACATCGTCAATCAAGCACAATTGAGGCTGTTGATTAGTAAATGCTGATCCCCTAAGTTGAAGTGAGATAACATATCCGTTATTTTTGTCACAGCCTACTCCTTTCCATTCACAACAATCATTGCCTTTCCAAGAAGACAACATATGCGATGGATCATGGAAACAAAGTTTGAACTTCAAGAGGGCTTCTATCTCCATTTCTATACAGCTAAAGCTTGTGTTCCGACTGGAACAAAACTCTGCAGCTCCAAAGAACAATACAACAACTAGAACAAGCATAGCACGAAAAATTTCCCTCATAATGATGTTTTCAATATTGTATTGAAGATGAGATGTGATATTTAATTTTGCTTGTACATTAATATATAGTCCCATGGACAGTCAAATAAAACACCCTTCCCCGAAGTTACACTAAAGATAAAGATTCCGAGTAAGTGATTTAAAGCAGCCTATTTTTGTATTTCGATTATGATCACTCGAGCACGTTCACCAAGACTTGGATGTCTTTTTGGTCCTTGTTGCTTTAGAGTCAATTTAATTGGTGCTTTCATTGTCCTTTTGCCCCACCATAATAATAATACAGCTTTTACAGGTCTTGTGCTACTGTTGTGCAACGTGAAGACTGGAAATGTTTGAAAAATGGCTTTCAATTCTTAGAGATAACTATGGTTCGTGGAAATTTCTTCTCATTTTACGTGTCATGGAAATTTTTGGTCATCATGATTATGGTTCAAATATTGTGTGAAAGACTAGATATTTAGATGATTTTATTTTTATTTCTTTTGATGAATGGATGATTTTTAATTTTGGTTGCACATTAATATTATAATGGCAAATCTCAAGCCCTTGAACTTACCCTATTCTTCGACACAAGCCCCTAAACTATCATTTTAAACTTATAAGCCCTTAACCCTTCTATTTATGCCAGAAGGAAACCCTTTGTTAACGGTTCCGCTAGTTTCCGTAAAAAAAAATCTAATCACAGCAGTCAAAGAAAAAGGTTGAATTGTAGTTTAGTCAATATATATACTTTCATATTTAACAAAAATTACTTCTTTCATTTTTAACTAAATTTGCTAAAAAAAATTAAAAAAAAAAGAAATAAAAAGAACAAATAATCATATGATATAAAAAAAAAAATAGTTCTCAACGTGGTTTCCACGTCACAAGTCTCGATAAATCTGTTAACCATATTTCCGACGCATCCCAAAATCAACTTTAAAAAAAAAAAAGAAGACTACAGTGAAATAAATTTTGGTTATTGAACTCGTTCCTTCTAAAATAAACATAGAGATGAATATATATATATAATTAATGGCAGCTCTTGAAGGCTTAATTTAATAAAGGTTAAACTCCTATTTTGGTCCCTAAACTATTGTACGGACCCTCGATTTGGTCCCTGAACTAAAGAAATCCCTAATTTGGTCCTTGAACTATTGTACAGACCCCTGAGTTGGTCCCTAAACTATTGTATGGACTCCCAAGTTAGTCCCTAAACTATTGTACGGATGCCCAATTTGGTCCCTACTGTTTACCAATTTAACCCCAACTTGATCCTTCTGTTAAATAATAGCTCAGAGACCAAATTGGGGCGAAATTGTAAACACTAAGGACCAAATTGGGTGTCCGTACAATAGTTCAAGGGCCAACTTAGGCCAAATTATAAACAGTGGGGACCAAATTGGGGGGCCGTACAATAGTTTAAGGACCAAATCAGGGATTTCTTTAGTTTAGGGACCAAATTGGGGGTCCGTACAATAGTTCAGGGACCAAAATGGGGATTTAACCAATAATAAATAAGTTAGTAATTTTTGTATTTTTTTCTTTTTTTTTTATTTTTAAATACTTTCAAATCTATTTATTATCTTTAATTTTTATTTCAATTTAATCTAATGTATTAATTTTTTAATAGCAGTTTCACTCCGCTTGATCAAATTAATTTTCAATTATATTTTTTTGTGAATTTTTATTTGTTGGAATTAATTTCGAAATAAAACTAATTTTATAAAGATAATAAGTTCCTTTTCACTCTCTAAGAACTATAACTTTTATCATGTGCTACTTTAGTTTTCTTTTTTGACAATTCTCTTTTATAGCAGAAATCACAATTATCGATATGTTTTAATAGTTTGCACAGTTTGTCATGAACTGATTTACTGACTAAGATTACTCTATTTTAATTTTAATTTAATTTTTCTATTATTTTTTTGCCCCCTAATTAAGAAATCTTTAAGAACTAAAATTGATTTTAAGCATATATAAAATTTTGTCCTTACCTAATTTATAAATGAATTTAGAACAACCTTCTTTCTAACCCCCCAATGGGTATTAGCATGATCCTACAAGGTGATTGTACTGGGACCATGTTCCTTA